AGTCTTCCAACAAAGAAAAGCCCAAGTCCTGATGGCTTTACTTCTAAATTCTACAAAATCTTTAAAGTAGAGCTAACCCCTATTCTACTCAAACTATTTCTAAAGATACAAAAGGTAGGAAACCTCCTGAATTCATTCTGTGAAGCCTTCATCACTCTCATTCCCCAAACAGACAAGGACATTACAAAAAAGAAAACTATAGACCAATATCCCAGATGAATACATAATCAAAAATTCTCAACCAGATGCTAGCAAATCATATCCAATGACACATTAAAAAAAGATTATGTATCACTACCAGGTTGGCTTTATTCCAGGAATGCAAGGGGGATTCAACATGCACAAAATCATAAATGTAATACATCATATTGATAGAAGGAAATATAAAAACCATGTGATCATATCAATCAATGCAGAAAAAAAGCATGTGATAAAAGGAACATTCCTTCATGATTAAGACTTTCAGCAAAATTGGCATAGAAGGGACTTTTTGCAACACAATAAAAGCCATATATGAAAAATCCATAGCTAACATCATAATGAATGGAAAAAGGTGGGAAGCTTTTCCACTAAAAACTGGAGCAAGACAAGGCTGCCAGCTTTCTCCACTGCTTTTCAATATAGCACTGGAAGTCTTAGCCAATGCAATCGAATAAGAGACTAAAATAAAAGGCATTTGAATAGGACTTTTTGCAACACAATAAAAGCCATATATGAAAAATCCATAGCTAACATCATAATGAATGGAAAAAGGTGGGAAGCTTTTCCACTAAAAACTGGAGCAAGACAAGGCTGCCAGCTTTCTCCACTGCTTTTCAATATAGCACTGGAAGTCTTAGCCAATGCAATCGAATAAGAGACTAAAATAAAAGGCATTTGAATAGGGAAAGAAGAAGTGACAATATCTCCATTCATATACCTACACACAGAACTTCTGGAAGTCATAAATAAATACCGTGACAGGATACAAAATCAACATACAAAAATCTTTAGCATTTCTATATACCAACAGTGAACATACTGATCTAGAACTGAAGAAAGCAATTCCATTTATTGTACCATAGCCACAAAAAAGAAATAAAATACCTAGGAATAAACCTAACCAAGGAAGTCAAAGACCTCTACAAAGAAAACCATGAAATAGTTTAAAAAGAAACTGAAAAGGATACAAAAAAGTGGAAGGACATTGCACATTCCTGGATTGGAAGAATTAACATGTCAAAATGTTAATTCTACCCAAATTAATTTACAAATTTAATGCAATCCCAGTCAAATTACCAGGGACATTCTGTCCAGAATTAGAAAAAAAAAATCATAAAATTTGTCTGAAGTAATAAAAGACCTTGTATCACCAAAGCAATACTATGCAAAAAGAGGGGAGTAGAAGACATCTCACTCTCTGACCCCAAAATATATTACAAAGCTGTGATAGACAAAACAGCATGGTACTGACACAAAAACAGGCACATAAACCAAAGGAACAGAACAGAGAACTCAGAAATAAACCCTAAAATGTATAGCCAACTGCTTTGTGACAAAGAACACAAGTTAATTCGATGAGAAAAAGAAAATCTCTTCAGCAAATGCTGCTGGAAAAACTGGATATTCACTTGCAGAAAATAAAACTGGATCTCTATATCTCACCATTAACAAAAATCAACTCAAAATGGATCAAAGATCTAAACATAAAACCTCAAACTATGAAACTAGTCAGTGGAAAACACAGGGGAAACTCTTAGTAATATCAGAAGAGGCTAATACTTTTTAAGTAAGACTCCCAAAACACAGGCAATGACCTCAAAAACATACAAGTGAGATTACATCAGATTAAAAAGTTTCTGCACAGTACAAGAAATAATAATTAGAGTGAAAAGATAACCCTTGAAATGAGAGAACATATTTGCAAACCATACCTCAGAAAAGGGATTGATAACCAGAATATGCAGCGAGCTCAAGCAGTTTACCTCCCCTTCCCCCTCCAAAAAAATCGATCCAATTAAAAAACGAGAAAACAAGTAGAACAGACAGTTCTCCAAGGAAGACATAAGAACAGCCAAAATGCATATGAAAAAATGCTCAACATCTCCTATCATAAGGGAGATGCAAGTCAAAACCACAATGAGATACCACCTAGTCCCAGTCATAATGGCTAGTATTAAAAAAAAATAATAATGTAAATATTGGTGAGCCTGCAATGAAAAGGGAACTGTCCTACCCTGTTGGTGGGAATGTAAATTAGTGCAACCACTGTGGAGAACAATATGGAGATTACTCAAACCTACAAATAGAACTACCATACAATCCAGCAATTCCACTCCTGAGTATTCATTCAAAGGATAGGAATACATTCAGTTGGAAAAGTACTTGCACATCCATGTTTATTGCAGCATTGTTCCCAATTGTTTAAATATGAAATCAACCCAAAAGTCCCAGAACAGATGAATGGATTGAAAAATTGTGGCACATATACACTATGGAATACTACTCAGTCATAAAAAAACAAGACCCTAGCATTTGATTAAAAGTGGATGAATGGAAGATGTAATGATGAATGAAGCAAGTCAGATTATGAAAGAGAAACATTGTATATCCCTGCTTAATATATACCAAATGTCTGCACTCTATGACAGAAACGGAAAGATTGAAAGGCATCAAGGTATGGAGAGCAGCTATAGATAGAGAGAGAGTGCAGGAGGAGGATGGACAAGGGGGGGGTGGAAGGGAGGGAATCAAGAGAGTGGAAGAAGAAGCAAAATCACTTAACCAACACAAAAATGGAAAATTATCTGGTGACGATAATATATATATGGTGATATCTTTGACTGGACTAAAATGTAACGTGTTTATAATGGGAAAATCCATTTTGTATGCTGTAAAGATGTACAGTTATTGAATGTAAAAAATAAGAAAATTTAAATAAAGAGAAAAGTTGACTATTTGCACAAACAGCTAATCTTTGTCAAAATATTGTCAGAAAATTTCTGAGTACATCAATATGGGTATATACAGTGTTCTGGCTAGGCTCAACTGTTGGGTCTCCTAGGGGATGATCTTTGTTGTACTGTTATAAGCTGTGTACTTTAATTGTTGGCTACCTCGAAAAGACTGAACACATTCTTTTCTTTTTTTCAGTTTGGCTGTAAGGTGTATGTATGCTCTCACTAGTAAAAGATACCCAGAGAGAAAGTAGGGATTGTAAGAAACCACTTGCCGGAGAAGATGGCCATACTACAATCCCTCCTCTTCCATTTTCCTCTCAGGGTTTTGGGCATGCACGCACATGCCCCTGGAATGTTTTTCAAGCCACTGTGTCTGGGACTCGAACTGTGCTGTTGGCCATATGGGATCCAACTACCTTAACCACTACACTACAAGCTGGCCCCACATTCATATTATGGTATTGAGATAGAAATTCCCAGGTGCTGAGGAAAAAATACTAGGTTTTGAGTCCGTTAAGTTTGAGTTTGAACCTAGCCTTTATTATTTACTAATTCAGTAGCTAAATTCCTTACTCTGAGCTTCATTTTTTTGTTTGTTTTGTTAAGAGTAGATATCTCGTATGATCGTATAGTCATGTATGAAAAGCATTTAGCACAGTGCCTGGAACATAAAAGCAAACAAGCAGACAAAAACTTAGCAAATTTATATTTCTCTTCACATGCTTCCAAAACCTAAAAAACAAACAGGTTGGTCCCAAGCCAGAGAAAAAAAAAATGCCAGAAGGAATTTTGGAGTATTAGCTACTTGTTCCTCCTTTGATCTGAGTACTATCATTCCACGACTTGCTCTGCTCATCCTAGCAACTGAAGAGCTCATTTGCAGCTCCAGTTCCCTTTTCCAGTTTAGGTTCAGGCCACTTGGTTTCAGCGTGCCTGTGTTCAAGGTGAGCAGAGCCACCTTCCTCCTATGACAGCCCTGTGAGGCTGGCTGCCAGAGAAGCACTCATGACTTCTTTCACTCATGGCTGTCTGGGGAGAGAAAGAAGGCGCTTTCATCCATAGTTCAGTAAGTACCTCTGTTGGGCAGAGAGCACGGACTAGCAAAACAAAAGAGGAAGGGCTTTCTGATTTGTGTCTGGCTCCTCTGAACCCGGGTGATCTGTTCTTGTTTAAAACAAAAAGCAAAACGTGTTTCCTCAAACTAGTTTAAGAGAAAAGTGATGACAAAGGCAGTATATTTATTTCGGCTGTCACAGGAGTCATGAATTCCTAGATTTTTGGGAAAAAAAATTCTCCTTCTGTATATTTGAAAATACCATGATTCCCTTCCTAGGAACTCTTGAAAAGAAATTCTTTCTTGGATATAGAGATGGCAAGGGAACACGTTCTCAATTCTGAAAACTTTCCTTGTTTAAAAAGACAAGAAAGATTTGTTGAGAACATAGCTTTAAAGATGGTTGAGTGGGGTTAAACAAATGAATAAAGGGACAATTATTAACTATATTCATTCATTCTATAAATAAGCACTGTTCTGTAGCAGAGACTATAAATACAATTATAGAGTAACAAAGTTGAATGAGATGTACCTGAAATCTTATTTTTTAACAGCCTGAGGACTGCCAACTACACATATCATTATAAGGTAGAATTGTAAAGGCTCTGATATTAGAAGTACAATGTAGTGGGGCAGGTAGCATGGTGGTTGGGGCGCTGGTCTGCCACATGGTCAACTTTAGTTCAAGTCCCAGACCTGGAGGCTTACTTTCTCACTTTCCCTTTCTCTCTCTCTATCTCTCTGGTCAAATTAAATAATAATAATAACAAATAAAAATAAATAAATAATAATTAAAAAAATAAGTACAGTGTGGTGTAGGAGAGGAGTCAGAGACCAAAAGGATGAGCAGAATTTAGCCAGAAGAAGAGAGTGAAAAGAGGGTGAAAAATGTGTTCCAGGTAGAGGGAGCAGTATATCTTAGGCTTAGAAAAAGAGCAAAGTGGATTTTAATGTATTTAACATGTATTTTAATATATCTGGATCACAAATGTAGCAGGAAGAATGGCCAGAGATGAGGCTTGCTGGATACTATCGTCTTTTGGCAGCATGATGCTGGTGAGGTGTGGTCTTGCAATCTGGAAGGTAAGACTCCCTGTAGATTTTTGGGCCAAGCCATGTGCTCCAACAGAACCTGGACACAGAGATGTTAAATGTGGTTCCTTCTTTCCATTTTGCTGTTGTTTCATGTGTAGTCACTTGTCCAAAGGAAACTCAAGGGATGCCTAATGGATCGAGATTTAGGATTTCCTTGACCCATTAACTAAAAATCAGAACCTCATCTTAAATGCCAACTATTGGGAGATGTGTATGTGTTATAATATATAATTATATATTATATATTGTATATTATAATATCATATATATTGCACACATATATTATATATATATATGTGCATTGCACACATATGTTCTGGGATATTTTGTTTTCTTAGTTATTGACTGCCTTTTATAGTAGAATTTAAGCCAGGATTTATCTTAATTATTGTTGTATTCCCAACATTTAAAACCATGGCAAAAACATAATGGGCACTGAAATATATGTTTTTACATTTATGAATTAATGAAAAGTATATAAAAAATGGGTCAGCTACATCATTGATCTTTCTATTATCCTGATATTTTTCAAATTTTAGCATGCATATGATTTCCCTGGAGATATTTTTAAAAATTTAGATTTTGATTGAGAATATCTTGATTTTGAAACTCTGCACTTTAGAAAAGTTCTCAAGATGCCAATGATTGAGGTTGGCCCGTGGACCACATTGCAAGTACCCTACTGTAGCTGTGCTACTGAAGCAAAAGATAGGTAAGCTTTGCCAGAAGACTTTTAAAGCCCAGTTAGATACATATGGTTTAGTCATGATTTTCTTGTTTTGTTTTGTTAAATAATGAGTGGGAAGTTAAGCTGCATTTTGTTCACCATTTTATTATAAACATTTTCAAACATACAAAACTTAAAAGACTTTTACAGTGAACCTGTAAACAGTGAACAGACTCCTGGTTGGTGACCAAACTGTAGTGGCTTCAGGGGAGTCATTTATAAAGTTGGCCCCCTCTGTCCCTTCTCATATGGGCATTCTCATTTTCAGCCTATTTCCATAGCACACTGAAGTTAGTGCTCTGGGAAGTCTTGGACATATTTTATATTTTTTGAAGGTATCCCATTATGATTTTAAGCCTAAACCAAGTTTACCTGTGGGAATAATGTAAATTTTATTCTGAAAAAAAAAAAAAAGGATAGATGGAACTATAAGTTACTTTTGGCTCCTGGCATTTTTTAGCAACTAAATGAAAGCTGTAAAGTTGAAATTTTCCTTTTAGATTTAGAACTTCTTGAGGGCAGGAACCATTTCTTAGTCATCATTGACTTCCCAGTGCCTAGTACCACTTCTGGTGAACAATAAATACTAAGTGTTTGCTGGAAGGGTGAGTGAGAGAATGAATGAACATTCACAATGGAATAGTAGTTTTCTCACTTGATTGTTGGTGTCTGTCCCTGGCAGACTCATTTCTATACAGAGCCTCCACAGAATTCACATTTTAGGTTGGATCAGTCTTTGTTTTGGGGGACTGTCCTGTGGATGTGAAGTGTCTGGCAGCATCTATGGCCTCTCCTTACTAGATGTCAGTAGCGCCCCATTCCCCTCAGTGGTACCAATCAAAAATAATTCCTCCTATTGTCACATGTCACATAGTGGACAGCATTGCCCCATTCAAGAACCACTGAACTACAGTGACTAAAGCTCTACAACTTGAGGCCAGTTCTGTTTAATGTGAGCCCGGAGCCAGCCAGATGGCATGGTAGTAGGGCAGCTAAATCCCACGAAGCCAACTGCAGAGTTCGAGTCCTTGACCCAGGAGCTTGAAAAACATGCTGGTTGTGCACGTGTGCACATGTGTGTGTTCAAAATCCTAAGAGGACTATGGAGGAGAAGGGCTTATAATGTGGCCATCTTCTCTGGGGGTGTGGGCTGCTTTCTCATTTTCCCTCTCTGTTTTTGTCTCTCTCTGGTGAGTGCATGTACCCTGTAGCAAATTGAAAAACAACAAGGAAAAGCCTGGATATGTATTAAGAGTCAGAAGAATAAGAATATTTTGGTTCCCTAGAATTCGCAATGGAATTGAGAAGTGGTTTGTGGCTTAAAATGCTTTGAACGAACCCAAAGTGCCTTCCCTAGTCAGCATTTTCTGCTGGGCCCCATTGTGTGTACCCAGTCTTTATGGCCGATTTCTGTCTGTTTTTGATTTGTGCTCTGTTCCATGCTGGAATTCAAGCATTGTCCTCTTCCCTGATCCCTTGGCTGAGGGGCTGATTTCTTGTCAGCTTCTTCCCCTGTGGGTTGGACCCTGCTCCGCGTACAAGGTATCCAAGTTGCTGTTTCAATGCAGAGATACTCAGCTCCTCAGGTCTTTGACTCTGCACCTGTTTAACTATGTGTTAATGCAACCTAATGACTCCAGCTGTGGTTCCCTACCCCTAAGTAAACCCATGATACTGACAGTTCCTTGAGTATGACCTGAGTTTTCTGGATCCTTTGGATTGGCATCACCTGCACTTGGAGTTAACCCTGCTTTTTGCTAAATTTCTCTTGCCCCAGGAGCATTGACTCTGGTCTCTTACCCTTTTCTTGCCAATTCACTGGAAGTTATGATAGTCAGTCTCGACAGTCTGTTTCCCCAGCCCACATACGTTAGATTCCATCCTCATCAAGGTCTTTGTGTTCACAGACTTCGGGTTGATCTTTTCAGGCTGCTCAGCTTTTCTAGTCCTGTTATCAGATTCTCCAGTCCTCAGAGGTACCTCTTTTGTCTTCTGCCCTGAACCAGAGAGCTGCTGAAGAAAGACTCATAATTAAACACAAATAGCCCACAAAAAACCCTCCATTTCCTTCTTGGCCTCTGTACTCTGCTACAATTTGTTCTTCCTCTGTTACCTGCCTAAATCCATGCCCTAATGGTTGCTTCAAACACATTCTTGTATCTATGATCTTCCAGGCTATCTTTACCACTGCTGACACACTGACAATCTTACTTGTCTTCAGTAAGATTAGGACTATTTTTCTACTTCATCTTATCACTTTCATGTTTATCTATTCTTGATTCCTTTTTTATAGGCTTAGCCAAGAAGTGCCCTTTCTGTTTTGGTGCTTGTAAATTTTTTTTTTTTCTGGGTTCCTTAATCAGATTAAGCCCTGCAGTTGTTTGATTTAGAATCACTTCTTTAAATACGTGTGGGCAAAGTCTAGTTAGTTATATCCTGCTTTGACTCTCCCAGAGCGGACAAATGTGATCGCTTCTTTTATGCAAACTCCCCTTTTCATTTTGCTGTGAAGGGGAAAAGAAAATACAATGGACTGTGTTTATTATTATAGCTTAGCTGCTAGTATAGTTTTGAGGAGACCATTTTTCCATAAAACTTCTAGTCTAGTGCTGGGCATATAGTACAGAGTGGAATATTGAGAGACCAGCAGTTGGCATAATGGCTATGTTGCTGGACTCCCAAGTAGTCAACCGCGGTTTGAGCCCTGGACCTGGTGGCTTAAACTCATGCTGGGCACGTGTATATGTGTGTCCAAGATCCTGAGAGGAGAATAGAGGAGAAGGGATTGCAGCATGATCACCCCCTTGTGGGGGTGATTTCTCACTTTCTATCTCTCTCTGTCTTTCTGGTGAGCGCATGCGCCCTATAGCAAAAACCTCTCCAAAACAAAACAAAAATAAAACAAGAAAACAAAGTGGAATACTGAAATTGTCCATCAATTGCTCGATTAAAGGGGCGCACAACTCTGGTTCAGTCCATTTATCTCTTTCAAAAAGCAACCATGTTCCTGGCATAGTTCATCTGGTGTGGTTAATTATCTCCACCTCGGACTTACCTTTTCTTTATCTTCTTCATCAGCCATCAGTTTTCTCCAGAACTCTTCCAGTTAAATCAATTCCCACCAATTAGGTCTTAAATGCCATTCTTAGGAAACTGAAGTTTCTGGTAGAAACTTCATTTTTGTAGCCACCCACAGAAAATCCGTGTGGGTTTGCTTATACAGTGAGCAAATATTCAGTTCCTCAAGTGAACAGGCCTTTTAATTCACAATATTTCCAGTAATTTTTCTTTGAGTGACTCACTCTTGTTTGGCGGTTTGAGCATTGTTCAGTGTTGGAGGGCTAATCTATCCATATTGTTAGGCCAGCCATTCAATCTCTCTCTATTCCGCTGGTGTTGAGTAGGTCCCTACTGCCTCCTGCTATTCAGGATCCTTTGTTGTTGGATCAGAAAAAGGATCTGATCATTAATTTTGACATGAGAGCTAGGATATTTCTGATGTTTTTGGAAAGTGATATGAAATGACATTAAGAATACTCTACTGGGAACAGCCCGTGGTGTGGAAGTTTAGGTGACTGGATCCCAGTGACCAATAGTGCAGTTCAAGCCTGGGACCCGGCAGCTTGAAAAACACACTGGGTGAGTGTGTATGCATGCCCCAAAAATCTCGAAAGAAGAAAGAAATGGAGGAGAAGGGATTGTGGTATGATCATTTCCCACGGGAAGTATTTTCTCACTTTTCTTCTATCTCTGGCAAGTATAGGTGCCCTCTAGAAAAACTGAAAGAAAAAAAAATAAAGAATTCTATACTGAAATTTAGGAAATTTGAGGTTGTTGTAAATCTGACTATAGCTTAAAATAAAATCATCCTTAATCTCTGAGTCTCAAGTTTAGTTTTTGAAAAATTATGTTTCCTTTTGTAGTAAATGTTTTGCAGTTTCTGTTTCCAGTATTATAACAAGAATTTTTTAGGGACTTCATTTTATTCTTACTGCTCCATAATTTTGCTATTATAGATCTTGCTATAGATCTTTGTAAAAATCCCCCTCCCTGGGAAACTTATAGTCCTATAAATTTAGAGGTGATGTAGTTTAGAGATTTCCTCATACTATGTGAGTTTCAGATTTTTAAAGGAACTCAAAGTCAAACATACACCCTGAAAATGTATAGAGGTTACACTTAGAACATCCAATTTGCAGAGAAGATAATATTAAAGGCAGTTCTGAAGAGGCAGTATTTGAAGAGAAATTAAGAATTTTCC